TCTAATTATTGAACATTAACAAATGTGAGGTTTAAAAATTAAACTTATAGTAATGATATGTAATTTTAAAGAGATGGAATATGAACATTTTCCATGAAAGCAGAACACATTGTCAATGTCATGTTTCAGAATCAAGTTATTTTCTTTAAACATTTCAATATGCAAACTTTATATTTTAATTCATTAACAGAGACTTCATTTATTAACAGAGACAAATAAGGACAGCTTGATTCGCTGGCCCAGGAAGTTGATTTGAATCTGTACGCAGGTCGCCTGCATCCTGTGCCTCATTGTCTTCATACCCGCTGTAAGCGCTCTCAAGGCAGGGGCGGACTGGCCATCGGGACGTTCGGGACGAATCCCGATGTGCCGGTACTGAAGTGGGCCGGTCGGACGATGTGGGCCGGCCTGTAACCGGCAGCGCTCGACATTAAATGGCCCGCTGGCCCGGAAGCACTATTTATACACCCCGGGCCAGCATAACGTAGGCTACTTTCCACTTGCCCGCTCGGACCACTAAAAATATTGCTTTAAAATTAAAATTGTCCTGTGGTATTGGTATTTTGACTAGCAATTTAGTTAAATTGTTTCGTTTATCAACGCTACAACATAGCCTTCCGTGAGTCGGTTGTCGTTGTTGGGTGAAAAGCAAACAGCTGTTTGCTGCGGAGCGCAGCGCGAGCAGGCTCCCGTGAGCGGGAGCGCGCTCCTTCACTACAGACTATCCGCCACCTAACCATTCGCCAAATGTTTTTAATACCAGCGGTAGCCGGCCAAGCGCCGGGCAAAAAACTATCTTCAAATAAAAGAAAGTCACCGGAGGAGTTAAAGGAGAGTGACAGGGAGTATGAGAAGAAGAGGGAGAGAAAGTTTCAGCTTGATCGATGGAGTTGGCTTCTAGTGGTGCAGTGACGCATCCTAAAACCCTTTTATAATCTATCGATTAGATTTATGATTCGAAAATTATAAAAGTAGGAGACATGCGGAGATTATCCGGATGAACAAAACGTGCATTTATCAAACAGGTTTGTTTTCCACAGACCTTATTTCCAGCTATTTTCCAAAACCCTGTGGAGAAATCCCATTGCTTTCTGTCGAGGGTACCAGCAGCTTACTTCCTGGTTTTAGGACGCGTCACTGGCTGCACCTCTCAATATGATGCCAATATAAACAAGGTCTTCTGTCGGCTCTGTACATCAATGCCGACCTATGCTGACAAGTGAGTGAAGAGTAGACAATAAAGGTATTGGCGAAATGTCCCAGCAGTTTAGGATAAAGAAGGTTCTAATCAAATCAATTACATAGCCATTACATGTCTAACTCCGAATGACAGGAAGGCAGAAAGTGCATTATACAAATAATAATAGGCTACTCATAATATCATTATTTTAATAAACCAAATATGAACAATTGAGGAAAATGAGGAAGAACTGATGATTAAAATGTTGTAGTACAAGTAGTAATGTAGTTAGAGCATAAATGACTATTGCAACAAATGTGTTAATTTTCTTCATTATTAGTCGATTCTCTTTTGGACGAATGTTCCGGGCCAGTGGTTACAATGGTGGGGCCAGTGACAATACAAGTCCACCGGCCCGGAGATAGACATTATTTACCCTTAATGTCTACCGCTAGTAAATTGTCTACCCCCCCCCCCCCGTTGACAATTTACTAGCGTTACTTGCGGTGGGCGGTCGAGAGTCCCGGGCTGATTTGTAGTCCCAGTCCGCCCCTGTCTCAAGGTGTCAAAAACCACAAGCGCCTTCTCTGCACGATAGCTGGAACTTTTGCGCTTGTATATTGCACCATCTAGAATGTGTGAACAAAAAAAAGTTCAGAATGTTCTATCTAGTTTCACATGCCTGAAACAACAAAGAACACTGAAAAAAAGTGTGACATTTACTTAGAAAAACCTCGGTAACAATATTCCACGCAGAAATTCTAAGTAAATTTAACAACCTACAATTCAAGTAAATTCTACTTAGAGTTCAGAAGTGTCTCTAACAACAGGTACACAAGTACACTTTACTGTGCTTTCAGTTTTTCTTATTTAATTGTACTCACTATTGAATAGTATTTTTTACTTAAATATATAAGTAATATTTACATAATATTTCTTCTTCTATTTAATTGTACTCACTATTGCATAGTATTTTTTACTTAAATATATACGTAATATTTACATAATATTTCTTCTTCTATTTAATTGTACTCACTATTGCATAGTATTTTTTACTTAAATATATAAGTAATATTTACATAATATTTATTTTTCTTATTTAATTGTACTCACTATTGCATAGTATTTTTTACTTAAATATATAAGTAATATTTACATAATATTTCTTCTTCTATTTAATTGTACTCACTATTGCATTGTATTTTTTACTTAAATATACAAGTAATATTTACATAATATGTATTCTACCTTTAACAGCACTACCCTGTTAAATATGGGCATACAAAACATGAAACAATGTACTCTTTAAAACAACAACTTTATGTTTTGAAACACTGGTAGAATTCTGACTTAAAAATAAAAATCTCATGTGGCCCTCATCATATTCAGCACAAGAAAACTAAGTGCAATCACTCATCCCTGACGTCCCTTGCTTTTAGTGTTATAGAGAATAATTACACAATATGTAGTTGTACAGTGTCACTCAAGAAAACATACAAAACACAATCAAATGAAGAAAAAAATCTTCACCAATTTGACATGTGCCGCATTGAGCTGCAAATACTCAAAGCACAACAAATGAAACTGCTTCCAGGGGAAACTAAAAAGTGCCGTGTCAAGAACCCCCTCAACAAGGTTTTGAAACATTATCTTAACAATATACAAAACATGTAGTTGTACAAAGTGGGCTCAGGCAAAACATATGAAAAAGGTCACTGTTGCTATAGACACCATAACTACCAAGTATTTCCTCTGAACTGCAAGTTGAAGAAACACCTTTGTATACACTTAGGCTACAAGTTTGTTGCACAATGCATGGACTTTTGGAGACATCTTCAGGACATTCAGCTCAAGAAAGAGCTTCTGAAATACTTCAAAAGTGTATTTCATCTTCATTACATTACATTACATTTAGCTGACGCTTTTATCCAAAGCGACTTACAATAAGTGCGTTCCACCAACAAAATACAAACTTGAAGAAAACAGAATCATATAAGTACATCAGGTTTCATAGAGCCAAACATTTCAAGTGCTACTCAAATGGCTTTAGAAAAGCCAGTCCTTTATTAGTATAAAAGTGCTTTGTTAATAGTTCTATCGCTCGAAGTGGAGTCGAAAGAGATGAGTTTTCAGTCTGGAAGGTGTGTAAGCTTTCTGCTGTCCTGATGTCAATGGGGAGCTCATTCCACCATCTTGGAGCCAGGATAGCAAACCCACGTGTTTTTGCCGATGGGAACTTGGGTCCCCCTCGCAGCGAGGGCGCAACGAGTCGTTTGGCTGATGCAGAGCGTAGTGCACGCGCTGGGGTGTACGGTTTAACCATGTCCTGGATCTAGGAAGGGCCAGATCCATTCGCAGCATGGTACGCAAGTACCAGTGTCTTGAAGTGGATTCTAGCAGTTACCGGAAGCCAGTGAAGGGAGCGGAGGAGCGGAGTGGTGTGGGAGAATTTAGGAAGGTTGAAGACCAGACGAGCCGCTGCATTCTGGATGAGCTGCAGAGGTCGGATGGCACATGCAGGTAGACCAGCCAGGAGGGAGTTGCAGTAGTCTAGGCGTGAGATGACGAGAGCCTGGACCAGAACCTGCGTCGCTTTCTGTGTCAGCTGGGGACGTATCTTCCTGATGTTGTCCATCTTCGGTGGATAACTTAAGTTCATTGCATATATGAAGCCCGTGAGCAGAAGGCAAGCCTTTGACACACATCTGCAGTCATCAAGAACCTCACTTCCCTCGATGATGATGGACACATCGGCAGGGCCTTCGTGTGCTGCACTTCCACGGAGGACAACTATTTTCACAACGCATGGATGTATAATAAGAACCATATTACCCCTCCTGTACCCGGGCCCGGTGACACGATGGAATCAAGAGAGCTCAGACCCTCACTTATATAGAGGTCGGAACATGTCATAACGTATAAATAGATACAAGCATAAATAAATGTAGGAATAAAAACATCAATAAATACAGGACTACATATGTTCCAGTGTTTTCAGAGAGCTGTAGTGTGTGTGCTGTGGCTCAGCTGGAAAGCAGTTGACTCACGATCGCAGGGTCTCTGGTTCAACGACTGAACAATACGTATTTTTTGTTGTTTATAAAAGCTACAGCTAAATGAGATAATGTAGTTAATAAATGTATTCTTTGATATGGTTTAGCCTTCTCAGGCTACAACATGGTTACGTTTACGAATATTATTAAGGAATACAAATCCCTCTTTGCAATGTTTACCAGCCTCCTTAGGCTTTTCAATCACAATCATTCAACTGGAATAAAAACAATATTGTTAACATGAAGATATGATTTAATGTTCGTTGTTTAGAGTTATTCTAAGGCTTTACTCATTGGGAACTCGGTATGAGATAGAGCACACTGTCGAGATGTCCAATCTGCCTGTTGTACACACTTTGACCAACAGGGGGTTTGTGTTCAAATGAAGCCCATGATGAAGCCTCATGAGATGAACCCTTTTGCGAACCAATTGGCTGGAAAGCTTCAAAGCTTCATAAGGCTTCATCTCGCCATCACTAGTGAATGCACCTAGAGGTAGGTGAAGCAAAGGTCAGGTATGACACGGCCACTTACACAGCAGAACTGTCAACACATACTTTACAGATCTAACATTTGTAATATAAGACATCTCCTTTAATCAAAGTCCAATGTGGCAATAGTACTTGTATTGAACTAAAGTATCTGAATAGCCTATTGTGTCTGCATACTGCTGATCAGTGTTTTCATTGTTGTAAAACGCTTTTGGAGCCAGCACTGTGCTCTGATTGGTCGTCCAGAGGTCACATGGTCATCCACAGCCAATCGGCTTCCAGCGATGAGGACATTTAATCACCAAACATCTTCACATTCTTTCTGTCGCACCTCGCCCGGTTGGATTACTTATCGGTTTACGCCATATATTTGCTGAAAACCACGCTTTTAATGCTCCAGGCTCTTCGGAAATACTCTCAGTTTTTGGTGTGTGTGTTTCTGCAGACACACCCTCTGAAGTGAAGGAGGAGAAACCGAGCATTTTCTCACTGTTTTTTCCTGTTATCTGTTTTTTTACTCCATATTGAAGTATGGCTTTCCAAGGATACGGAGCAGCCCCCGGAGGCATGGCGGTGAGAAAGCGTTACAATGTGATGTGTTATCGGGATTAAAGCAGAATATGTGCCCGCTGTCCGGGACAGCCCGGAAGTGGCTCGAGTTGACTGATTATACCGGTTTATCTGACATTAAATCTGTTGATGATGCTCCACCTGTTTAAAGGTTATACCTGGTATCAGTTAACGGTGGGGGGAAAGTGCATACATATATATATATATAGTGTATATAGAATATGCTGTTGAGTAGCCTACACTTAAAATAAAAGGCGTTTTTTTAATTGCTTCCACATGTTCGCAATGGTGGAAGAAATACTACTAAAAGTCATGCAATCAAATATTTGTTTACATTTATATTATTATTATTATTTTATATACTACAAGGATATTAAAATACTACATTAAGTGCTCTTTAATTGCTTCCATGTTTAAAAAATTGCTCCTTTATCACTAAAAGTCATGCAATCAAAAACAAAATTCCTATTATTAAAATTAATATGTATTTTATTTTACTTTTACTCAAGTACAAGACCGGAGTACTTCTACTTTTACTCAAGTACAAGACCTGAGTACTTCTACTTTTACTCAAGTACAAGACCTGAGTACTTCTACTTTTACTCAAGTACAAGACCGGAGTACTTCTACTTTTACTCAAGTACAAGACCTGAGTACTTCTACTTTTACTCAAGTACAAGACCTGAGTACTTCTACTTGTGCTCAAGTACAAGACCTGAGTACTTCTACTTTTACTCAAGTACAAGACCTGAGTACTTCTACTTTTACTCAAGTACAAGATCTGAGTACTTCTACTTTTACTCAAGTACAAGATCTGAGTACTTCTACTTTTACTCAAATACAAGATCTGAGTACTTCTACTTTTACTCAAGTACAAGATCTGAGTACTTCTACTTTTACTCAAGTACAAGACCTGAGTACTTCTACTTTTACTCAAGTACAAGACCTGAGTACTTCTACTTGTGCTCAAGTACAAGACCTGAGTACTTCTACTTTTACTCAAGTACAAGACCTGAGTACTTCTACTTTTACTCAAGTACAAGATCTGAGTACTTCTACTTTTACTCAAGTACAAGATCTGAGTACTTCTACTTTTACTCAAATACAAGATCTGAGTACTTCTACTTTTACTCAAGTACAAGATCTGAGTACTTCTACTTTTACTCAAGTACAAGACCTGAGTACTTCTACTTTTACTCAAGTACAAGACCTGAGTACTTCTACTTGTGCTCAAGTACAAGACCTGAGTACTTCTACTTTTACTCAAGTACAAGACCTGAGTACTTCTACTTTTACTCAAGTACAAGATCTGAGTACTTCTACTTTTACTCAAGTACAAGATCTGAGTACTTCTACTTTTACTCAAATACAAGATCTGAGTACTTCTACTTTTACTCAAGTACAAGATCTGAGTACTTCTACTTTTACTCAAGTACAAGACCTGAGTACTTCTACTTTTACTCAAGTACAAGATCTGAGTACTTCTACTTTTACTCAAGTACAAGATCTGAGTACTTCTACTTTTACTCAAATACAAGATCTGAGTACTTCTACTTTTACTCAAGTACAAGATCTGAGTACTTCTACTTTACTCAAGCACAAGATCTGAGTACTTCTACTTTTACTCAAGCACAAGACCTGAGTACTTCTACTTTTACTCAAGTACAAGACCTGAGTACTTCTACTTTTACTCAAGTACAAGACCTGAGTACTTTTACTGAAGTCTAAGTTTTACTATGTCTAAACCTCGAGATTATTAACATTATTCAAAGGATAAGCAGTAAATATGAAATCATTGAATATGGTTATATATATAATATACATATAAGGCTGCACAAACTGGCAAATGAGTCAACAGGAAAGATTTAAAATCATGATTACAGAAGAACGATGAACTTCCTGCACGTTGTTTCCTCATTTAAAGTTGCTTTATTCAACAGTCAGATGTTCAAGCACTCTTTCTTTGAGGCATTGTGAGTCTCGAAAAGTTTCTCGTTAACCCCCCGTGGAACAAGATCCCTTTCTTCAGTAAAAGCACTAATACCAAACTCTACAAGTATATACATTCCTTTTTGGACATTATTAACGTATTCCCCAATATGCTGTTCACGTGAACCCAGAAACAATTCATGTCATTTTCAAACTTTTTTTTGAAAGAAAAACTGGCCCGTTTATTCCTCTGTGTGACGATGCTTGTTCCAGCTGATTCAAGACGCTTTTCAAAGACTTTATTCAGCTTAAAAGGAGAGAAACATGGAGGTCTGTATGCTATAATGTGCCTTCAGGGTGTCCACTTCAGAGCTAATGAGATAATAAGAAACCAATGAAGTGCTTCCTGATCCCCAACACTTTCTTCTCTCTGTGTCTTCGTCTCTGCAGCAGGATCCAATCTACGGATACTTCACAGCTGTAGCTGGACAGGTAACCCCCCCCCCCCCCCCACAGTGCCTCTGAACATTATTGGTATCATTCTTTCACACAGTGACGTCACGAGCTACCCACAATGCAACACGCGCCATATATATATATATATAAATACGCCATTTTCATGGAGGTGCAAATATCCTGGAGGTGCTAATATAAACAGCTAGCTAACGTAGCCAGGCAGAGCGCACTAGTTTTTTTTCTGAATTAACGACCGAAGAAATCGCTGCATGTCTTCGGATTACATCTCTGGACTTGAGGGGTGTGCTCTAGATCGTTACCAGCGTAAACTAGAGCTGTGTGGGTTGTCGGATTGCCCTTACAGACTGCCTGCAGATGTATGCATCTACGTCTATCTTCTGGAAACACCAGGTGAATACCCCACTTGTCACAATAATATTATCATGCCATTGCATATATGTGGTATTTTAGAGTTGACTAGATATTGATTAAGGCAATAGACTATGATATTCAGTACAGGAAGCTTAGCAACACCTAGACGGTGTACGGCTAAACCCTTGGCCTGCTTGCACCTCGCGTAAAACGGCGGATACCGGAAGTACGGTGTCGCCCTCGGCCCAATACCCGTATGTGTGAAAGAATAGCAATCATTGTTGTTTCTCTTATCTCTGTGGATTGTTATTCACTGTATTTCTTTTCCTTATGAATCTGCGACAGGATGGACAGATCTCAGCAGACGAGCTGCAGCGCTGCCTCACACAGTCCGGCATCGCTGGCTCCTACAAACGTAAGAACATCTATTCTTTAATAATGATTATATCCATGCGGGACATTTCATCATAATGCTTGTTTACAGTTGCCCACATGTGGCATTGAAGGCATCAATCAGAAACAGGTTTATCAGCAGGTAGGTTGACACGTACGAGGAATTTGACTTGGTGTCGTGGCGCGTACATGAAAGTAAAACAAGAATTAAAAACACAGAACTATTTTAAGAACACTATAATAACATAAAAGACGAATCCACCTTCCTGAACGTTAGGGCTCTTCTTTGTGGCTGAAAATCTTATCATGTTTTATATAATAGAATATCGTGGCTATGGTTTTTACAACGATCTGTAAATTCAATTAATAAAAGGTTTGAAGGCATGAGCATTATAAAACATTCAGTTTGGAACACTCGCGCTCCTATTGGCTGGCGCTTCAACACATTGCACCTGATAGGCTAAGGGGCGGGACATCTCTAAGCGGTTGACCAATCACAACAGAGCTGACATCTGTCACTGACATTAATATATGTTTCTGTTGTCAGACAATTGCACTTTAATGGCATAGTGTGTTTTCTTTCAATTAAGACTAATATTTTAAAGGCAGAGTGTTAAATTAATGAATGAATGCGTTTCTTTTTCTTTTATACCTAAATATACAATCTCTTTATCTTTGAAATGATCCTTTTGGAGAGATGTCATGTTTGAAAAGTGATCTTATCAAAGTTCTCGCTGCCTACTAAGCTAACCCTTTTACATTGTCTCAGTGTTGGCATCGATGCACTTTCCCACTGCATTTTGGATCATATTTTTACATTCTGAGTTCTGACTTTTCTTTCTGCAGCCTTCTCCCTGGAGACGTGCAGACTGATGATCACCATGCTGGATGTATCCTTCCTCAGGCCTTTCTCACACCACACACTTTCCCTCAATAGGAAAAAGCCCATCATGCAATCCATTTGACTTCCATTGAGCTGCTGAGATTGATCTGGTATTGCGCTTGCATGCTCACTCTGTAACATTTGAACAACAGGGTAGCAGTCTTAGTGATGAGGCGTCATTCGTACATAGCTACAGTGTAGATATGTCAATGAAAATCTTAGGTCACAGGCAACACAATAAAAATAGAAACAATTGTGCAAGTAAATAAAACAGAAGAATAGTGAAATAGTGCAATAAGAGTCATACAAGTAATTGGAATATGATATATTACATAAATAATTTCTAAGTAGCAGTCAGATGAATGTTGTGCATGTTGTTTCAAACGTGCAGGGGTTTAAGTCTCATGGCCTGTGGGATGAAACTGTCTCTGAGTCTGGTGGTTCATTTAGTTAACTTAAGATGTGGAGGTTTAACATGAGCTTGTTTTGGTTGATAATTTCCACGTTCAGATTGTTTAACAGTGGCTTAATGCCTGCATCTTTCAGGGCTGTGGGAAATAAACAGGAAGTAGAGAAATGTAGAGTATTTACTGAAGGTTTTCCCCATGGATGTTTAATAAGAACTGGATACAGCGTGGGAGGCGGGGTCTCGTTCTTTCCTATGAGAACCGCTCATAGAGAGGCGAAGTCCCGCCCTTCTACTTCCGCTCCATGGGACCTTATTCCGGAAAAAGTATGTATTGAAGTCAATGGAGAGAGAATTACACATATGATGTTTGTCAATCTCACAATATCATCTCCATGTCAAAAAAGTCACAGTTTTTCGTAAAACTGTTGAAATATAAGAAAATACGCCACTAGAAAGACTACAAATCCCAGAGTAAGTGATGTCATTAACGTTACACATTACACTCGTGTTACTCACAGAAACCTTGTAAAGCCGGTCCCGCATGCTGGCTCTCACGGAACCGACTAACTCCCCTTGTGTGTACGTGCAGCTCTCAACACGCCCAGACTTGGAGTGATTTTCACCTCTTTTAATACTTTCCGCCTCATTCTGAAAGGAAGAAGTGAAGTGTTTCAACGTGACGGCCGTCTGGGTGCGAGACGGGAGATGTAGTTCATTCGCTTTCACACAAAAAAAGTGTTACGACACATTTGAATTTTCTTGACTTGCAAAATGATCTTTTAAATTGACAAACATCATATGTGTAATTCGTGGCACAATTCAAACGGGAGAGAAAGATAATCTTTCTCTCTCCATTGACTTCAATACATAATTTTTCTGAAATAAGGTCCCATGGAGGAAAGGGAGGGACTTCGCCTCTCTATTGGCGCATGAGGACAAAATGGCCCAACTTTTGAGAGAGCGAAACGTCACGGATTACCCATCATGCCTGGCTGTCAGAGCAGAAGTGCCCTTATGTAGCTCACAGAGCATGCGCCCCTTAAGCCCCGCCCCCTGAGCTCCCACTCTCGGCTCAGTAGAATGAATGGAGAGAGAAAATAAATCTAGATTCGGCTTTTAGTGCATTTTACAACTTTAAGGACCGAATGATTCCAATAAGGGCTAAAAGATAGTTCTTACTGGGTAGTTTATTTAGTTAAAAAAGTATCCTCTGATTTACAGACGGCTCTTTCTCCATGTTAGTCAATGGGGAAAGTCTTTCTGGGCCCAGTGATGTCACGGACTGATATGGAGGTTGTTGTACCGCCGTTTGGACACAACGAATATTTTCCTCAGAGTCCGGCGGGCTTGGTTTTTTAAAATGTTGGTGTGGGAAAATGGGCTTGGTCTTTTTGCATTGTTATGTTAGAAACAGCAAAGAGCCAAACACAACATGCTGCAGGCTGGAAGCTTTTGTCTAAAATATTTGATCTGTAGCATGAAGACCCCCCCCCCCCCCCCCTCCCCCTCCTCACCTCTATGGAGCAGGAACAGGAAACTGAGACTCACAGCGGAAATAAACTTGAAAACACATGTGGTTATTTGATCTAGCTGTTCACGCTTCACAAGTAAAGGGACAACATAAAAGCTAGTCAGGAATGTCTTTTCAAATCATTTGTATATTCATTCAAATAAATCTTTACATCCCGACGGCAATCGATTTAACACACTGTGGAAAGAAAACAAAGTAATGCAATATTTTATAATAATATGACTTAATTACTTATAGAGTGCTTTTCATGGTACTCAAAGAGACGCTACATTTACAGATTATATTTATCTCCAGTGTTTCAAATGCAAGCTTTCATACCTCTCACGTGTGTGAATCTGCATATTACATGTGCTGTATTTCTGAGCAAATGGACAGCGTTATCCCACAATGCAGTGCATGCATAATAGAAATAAATCCACTTCTAAGTTTAACTGACTATAAACGTCCCCATTACCTCGTTTTTGATTCAGTATTTGGTGCACGTGTTGCATATTTCCCCACCTGTGAAAACAGAAATACTAGACGACCTGTAACAGTTGACTAGGGAGTTGAGTGTATATATTGTGCATTATCTGTTATTGAGTCGTACTGTGGCTACACAGTGATCTATCTTCTGGTTTCAGACGTTTGTCCTGATGATAGCGATCTTTTTGAGTAAAGTGCATGGTAAAAACACACCAGTAAGAGTACGTGATGTGTCCTTGACAGTCTCCTCAGAGGGACATGTCCAACAGTATGGGCTTTTCTGAGTTCAAGGAGCTGTGGCAGTCGGTGAACGGCTGGAAGAACACGTTCGCCTCATACGACCGCGACCGCAGCGGGACGGTGGAGGGACACGAGCTGCAGCAGGCCTTCAGCGCCATGGGTAAACTCACACAACCCCCCCTACACACACCCTTTACTCAAGTAGAAGTACACACACCCTTTACTCAAGTAGAAGCACAGATACTCGTGTTTAAAAATACTCTGGTGAAAGTAGAAGTACTGACTAAACTTCTTTACTCAAGTAAAAGTAAAGAGGCTTTGAAATGTACTTCAGTAAAAAGTACCCATATCTAGCAGCTGCTTTAAAGAGTACCTGACCTCCCTTTATATTAATAGAACAATAATGTCATTGTTAGCTAATGAATGTTTCCATGCTGAACAACGGCAACATGACAACGTTTCCATTGGTCCCTCTTCTTTAGAGAAGACCAGGAAATGATGGATACACGGATCGTGTTCAAATCAATAGGCACGCAATGACTCTAAAGAATAATGATCACGCACCAAACACACATTCAGACTAAAGGAACCAGCTGTTTGGAAAATGAGAGAAGTAGAAAGTACAGGTATTTGAGTTCAACATGTGAGAAGTAGAAAGTACAGGTATTTGAGTTCAACATGTGAGAAGTAGAAAGTACAGGTATTTGAGTTCAACATGTGAGAAGTAGAAAGTACAGGTATTTGAGTTCAACATGTGAGAAGTAGAAAGTACAGGTATTTGAGTTCAACATGTGAGAAGTAGAAAGTACAGGTATTTGAGTTCAACATGTGAGAAGTAGAAAGTACAGGTATTTGAGTTCAACATGTAGAGAAGTAGAAAGTACAGGTATTTGAGTTCAAACATGTGAGAAGTAGAAAGTACAGGTATTTGAGTTCAACATGTGAGAAGTAGAAAGTACAGGTATTTGTAGTTCAACATGTGAGAAGTAGAAAGTACAGTATTTGAGTTCAACATGTAGAAGTAGAAAGTACAGGTATTTGTGTTCAACATGTAAGAAGTAGAAAGTACAGAGTATTTGGGTTCAACATGTAAGAAGTAGAAAGTACAGATATTTGGGTTCAACATGTAAGAAGTAGAAAGTACAGGTATTTGTGTTCAACATGTAGAAGTAGAAAGTACAGAATTTGTGTTCAACATGTAAGAAGTAGAAAGTACAGGTATTTGTGTTCAACATGTAGAAGTAGAAAGTACAGGTATTTGAGGTTCAACATGTAAGAAGTAGAAAGTACAGGTATTTGGGTTCAACATGTAAGAAGTAGAAAGTACAGGTATTGTGTTCAACATGTATTAAGAAGTAGGAAAGTACAGGTATTTGTGTTCAACATGTAAGAAGTAGAAAGTACAGGTATTTGGGTTCAACATGTAAGAAGTAGAAAGTACAGGTATTTGAGCTCAACATGTAAGAAGTAGAAAGTACAGGTATTTGAGTTCAACATGGAGAAGTAGAAAGTACAGGTATTTGTGTTCACATGTAAGAAGTAGAAAGTACAGGTATTTGAGTTCAACATGTAAGAAGTAGAAAGTACAGGTATTTGGGTTCAACATGTAAGAAGTAGAAAGTACAGGTATTTGGGTTCAACATGTAAGAAGTAGAAAGTACAGGTATTTGAGCTCAACATGTAAGAAGTAGAAAGTACAGGTATTTGGGTTCAACATGTAAGAAGTAGAAAGTACAGGTATTTGAGTTCAACATGTAAGAAAGTAGAAAGTACAGGTTATTTGAGGTTCAACATGTAAGAAGTAGAAAGTACAGGTATTTGAGTTCAACATGTAAGAAGTAGAAGAAGTACAGGGTATTTGTGTTCAACATGTTGAAGTAGAAAGTACAGGTATTTGAGTTCAACATGTAAGAAGTAGAAAGTACAGGTATTTGGGTTCAACATGTAAGAAGTAGAAAGTACAGGTATTTGAGTTCAACATGTAAGAAGTAGAAAGTACAGTATTGAGTTCAACATGTAAGAAGTAAAAGGTACAGGTATTTGTGTTCAACATGTAAGAAGTAGAAAGTACAGGTATTTGAGTTCAACATGTAAGAAGTAGAAAGTACAGGTATTTGTGTTCAACATGTAAGAAGTAGAAAGTACAGGTATTTGAGTTCAACATGTAAGAAGTAGAAAGTACAGGTATTTGAGTTCAACATGTAAGAAGTAGAAAGTACAGGTATTTGGGTTCAACATGTAAGAAGTAGAAAGTACAGGTATTTGAGTTCAACATGTAAAGAAGTAGAAAGTATAGGTATTGGGTTCACATGTAAGAAGTAGAAAGTACAGGTATTTGAGTTCAACATGTAAGAAGTAGAAAGTACAGGTATTTGAGTTCAACATGTAAGAAGTAGAAAGTATAGGTATTTGGGTTCAACATGTAAGAAGTAGAAAGTACAGGTATTTGAGTTCAACATGTAAGAAGTAGAAAGTACAGGTATTTGAGTTCAACATGTAAGAAGTAGAAAGTACAGGTATTAGGGTTCAACATGTAAGAAGTAGAAAGTACAGGTATTTGTGTTCAACATGTAAGAAGTAGAAAGTACAGGTATTTGGGTTCAACATGTAAGAAGTAGAAAGTACAGGTATTTGGGTTCAACATGTAAGAAGTAGAAAGTACAGGTATTTGGGTTCAACATGTAAGAAGTAGAAAAGTACAGGTATTTGTGTTCAACATGTAAGAAGTAGAAAGTACAGGTATTTGAGTTCAACATGTCAGAAGTAGAAAGTACAGGTATTTGTGTTCAACATGTAAGAAGTAGAAAGTACAGGTATTTGTGTTCAACATGTAATAAGTAGAAAGTACAGGTATTTGAGTTCAACATGTAAGAAGTAGAAAGTACAGGTATTGTGTTCAACATGTAAGAAGTAGAAAGTACAGGTATTTGTGTTCAACATGTGAGAAGTAGAAAGTACAGGTATTTGTGTTCAACATGTAAGAAGTAGAAAGTACAGGTATTTGGGTTCAACATGTAAGAAGTAGAAAGTAAAAATAAGTAGTGGAGTAAAGTACTGATACCAGAAGAATGTACTTAAGTACAGTAACAAAGTATTTGTACTCCACTACTTCCCTTCTCTGCTCCTAAGACACTGGAAGAAATGCTGCACCAAAATCAAGTTAAAGAAAATAACAACAATATGTTTCCACTTGTAATGAGTGTCTCTGCCGATAGAACAAGTGAGCTTTTGATATTTAGATATATCAGATCTTTTAATTAGTTTGCAAAACGTTTTTAAACTGCCAGGATCAGGAAATGTTGTGTAACGATTAACGAAATAAGCCAGAAATGCTGCAAACGTAGCTGTTTCCTTATTGCATGTTGATTTGCACATTTACAGCTTAACACAGGCGCTAACCAAAGTCCGGCCAGGCAGACTGAGTTTTCTTAGTTTCCCCAAAGAACCTCTGATCCGAATAACTTCACGTTTGGCATTAACCTGCCCGTTGTCCTTAGCAACACCCACACTAAACAGGAAGCAGATCGGTGCAAGAGTTGGTGAGATAATCAAGATTCAGAAACCCACACGTACAGAGACGTCTGGGCTTACAGTGTCTCGGATCAGAATCAGAATTATTGACGTTAAAGGAATTTGCTCTGGTGTATAATGTGCACACGTCTCTTCTACATCAACATGTGTCCCCTCTTCTTCATGTCTCTTCTACATCAACATGTGTCCCCTCTTCTTCATGTCTCTTCTACATAAACATGTGTCCCCTCTTCTTCATGTCTCTTCTACATAAACATGTGTCCCCTCTTCTTCATGTCTCTTCTACATCAACATGTGTCCCCTCTTCTTCATGTCTCTTCTACATAAACATGTGTCCCCTCTTAATATTTCCCCTCTTCTCATGTCTCTTCTACATCAACATGTGTCCCCTCTTCTTCATGTCTCTTCTACATCAACATGTGTCCCCTCCTTCTTCATGTCTCTTCTACATCAACATGTGTCCACTCTTCTTCATGTCTCTTCTACATCAACATGTGTCCCCTCTTCTTCCATGTCTCTTCTACATCAACATGTGTCCCTCTTCGTCCATGTCTCTTCTACATCAACATGTGTCCCCTCTTCGTCATGTCTCTTCTACTATCACACATGTGTCCCCTCTTCTTCATGTCTCTTCTACATCAACATGTGTCCCCTCTTCTTCATGTCTATTCTACATCAACATGTGTCCCCTCTTCTCCATGTCTCTTCTACATCAACATGTGTCCCCTCTTCTTCATGTCTCTTCTACATCAACATGTGTCCCCTCTTCTTCATGTCTCTTCTACATCAACATGTGTCCCCTCTTCTTCATGTCTCTTCTAACATCAACATGTGTCCCCTCTTCGTCATGTCTCTTCTACATCAACATGTGTCCCCTCTTCTTCATGTCTCTTCTACATCAACATGTGTCCCCTCTTCTTCATGTCTCTTCTACATCAACATGTGTCCCCTCTTCTTCATGTCTCTTCTACATCAACATGTGTCCCCTCTTCATCATGTCTCTTCTACATCAACATGTGTCCCTCTTCTTCATGTCTCTTCTACATCAACATGTGTCCCCTCTTCTTCATGTCTCTTCTACATCAACATGTGTCCCCTCTTCTTCATGTCTCTTCTACATCAACATGTGTCCCCCTCTTCTTCATGTCTCTTCTACATCAACATGTGTCCCCTCTTCGTCATGTCTCTTCTACATCAACATGTGTCCCCTCTTCTTCATGTCTCTTCTACATCAACATGTGTCCCCTCTTCTTCATGCCTCTTCTTCATCAACATGTGTCCCCTCTTCTTCATGTCTCTTCTACATCAACATGTGTCCCCTCTTCTTCATGTCTCTTCTACATCAACATATGTCCCCTCTTCTTCATGTCTCTTCTACATCAACATGTGTCCCCTCTTCTCCATGTCTCTTCTACATCAACATGTGTCCCCTCTTCGTCATGTCTCTTCTACATCAACAGTGTGTCCCCTTCTTCGTCATGTCTCTTCTACATCTAACATGTGTCCCCCTCTTCTTCATGTCTCTTCTACATCAACATGTGTCCCCTCTTCTTCATGTCTATTCTACATCAACATGTGTCCCCTCTTCTTCGTGTCCTCTTCTACATCAACATGTGTCCCCTCTTCTTCGTGTCTCTCTACATCAACATGTGTCCCCTCTTCTCCATGTCTCTTCTACATCAACATGTGTCCCCTCTTCTTCATGTCTCTTCTACATCAACATGTGTCCCCTCTTCGTCATGTCTCTTCTACATCAACATGTGTCCCCTCTTCTTCATGTCTCTTTCTACATCAACATGTGTCCCCTCTTCTTCATGTCTCTTCTTCATCAACATGTGTCCCCTCTTTCATGTCTCTTCTACATCAATGGTCCCTCTTCTATTCCTACAATCAACATGTGTCCCCTCTTCTTCGTGTCTCTTCTACATCAAACATGTGTCCCCTCTTCTTCGTGTCTCTTCTACATCAACATGTGTCCCCTCTTCTTCATGTCTCTTCTACATCAACATGTGTCCCCTCTTCTTCATGTCTCTTCTACATCAACATGTGTCCCCTCCTCCTTCATGTCTCTTCTACATCAACATGTGTCCCCTCTTCTTCATGTCTCTTTCTACATCAACATGTGTCCCCTCTTCTTCATGTCTCTTCGACATCAACATGTGTCCCCTCTTCTTCATGTCTCTTCTACATCAACATGTGTCCCCTCTTCTTCATGTCTCTTCTACATCAACATGTGTCCCCTCTTCTTCATGTCTCTTCTACATCAACATGTGTCCCCCTCTTCTTCATGTCTCTTCTACATCAACATGTGTCCCCTCTTCTTCATGTCTCTTCTACATCAACATGTGTCCCCTCTTCTTCATGTCTCTTCTACATCAACATGTGTCCCCTCTTCTTCATGTCTCTCCTACATCAACATGTGTCCCCTCTTCTTCATGTCTCTTCCATCAACATGTGTCCCCTCTTCTTCATGTCTCTTCTACATCAACATGTGTCCCCATCTTCTTCATGTCTATTCTACATCACATGTGTCCCCTCTTCTTCATGTCTCTTCTACATCAACATGTGTCCCCCTCTTCTTCATGTCTCTCCTACAATCACATGTGTCCCCTCTTCTCTCATGTCTCTTCCATCAACATGTGTCCCCTCTTCTTCATGTCTCTTCCATCACATTGTTCCCCTCTTCTTCATGTCTCTTCATCAACATGTGTCCCCCTCTCTTCTATGTCTCTTCTCAATCAACCATGTGTCCCCTCTTCTTCATGTCTATCTACATCAAACATGTGTCCCCTCTTCTTCATGTCTATTCTACATCAACATGTGTCCCCTCTTCTTCTTCAGTGTCTCTCCTACATCAACATGTGTCCCCTCTTCTTCATGTCTCTTCCATCAAAATGTGTCCCCTCTTCTTCATGTCTCTTCCATCAACATGTGTCCCCTCTTCTTCATGTCTCTTCCATCAACATGTGTCCCCTCTTCTTCATGTCTCTTCTACATCAACATGTGTCCCCTCTTCTCTTGTCTCTTCTACATCAACATGTGTCCCCTCTTCTCATGTCTCTTCTACATCAACATGTGTCCCCTCTTCTTCATGTCTCTTCTACATCAACATGTGTCCCCTCTTCGTCATGTCTCTTCTACATCATCATGTGTCCCCTCTTCTTCATGTCATCTTCTACATCAACATGTGTCCCCTCTTCTTCATGTCTCTTCTTACATCAACATGTGTCCCCCTCTTCTTCATGTCTCTTCTACATCACAACATGTGTCCCCTCTTCTTCATGTCTCTTCTTCATCAACATGTGTCCCCTCTTCTTCATGTCTCTTCTCATCAACATGTGTCCCCCTCTTCTTCATGTCTCTTCTACATCAACATGTGTCCCCCTCTTCTTCATGTCTCTTCTACATCAAGCATGTGTCCCCTCTTCTTCATGTCTCTTCTACATCAACATGTGTCCCCTCTTCTTCATGTCTCTTCTACATCAACATGTGTCCCCTCTTCTTCATGTCTCTCCTACATCAACATGTGTCCCCTCTTCTTCATGTCTCTTCCATCAACATGTGTCCCCTCTTCTTCATGTCTCTTCCATCAACATGTGTCCCCTCTTCTTCATGTCTCTTCTACATCAACATGTGTCCCCTCTTCTTCATGTCTCTTCTACATCAACATGTGTCCCCTCTTCTTCATGTCTCTTCTACATCAACATGTGTCCCCTCTTCTTCATGTCTCTTCTACATCAACATGTGTCCCCTCTTCTTCATGTCTCTTCTACATCAACATGTGTCCCCTCTTCTTCATGTCTCTCCTACATCAACATGTGTCCCCTCTTCTTCATGTCTCTTCTTCTACATCAACATGTGTCCCCTCTTCTTCATGTCTCTTCTACATCAACATGTGTCCCCTCTTCTTCATGTCTCTTCTACATCAACATGTGTCCCCTCTTCTTCATGTCTCTTCTACATCAACATGTGTCCCCTCTTCTTCATGTCTCTTCTACATCAACATGTGTCCCCCTCTTCTTCATGTCTCTCCTACATCAACATGTGTCCCCTCTTCTTCTCATGTCTCTACATCAACATGTGTCCCCTCTTCTCCATGTCTTCTTCTCCATCAACATGTGTCCCCTCTTCTTCATGTCTCTTCTCCATCAACATTGTCCCCTTCTTCTTCATGTCTCTTCTACATCAACATGTGTCTCCCTCTTCTCATGTCTCTTCTACATCAACATGTGTCCCCTCTTCTTCATGTCTCTTCTACATCAACATGTGTCTCCTCTTCTTCATGTCTCTTCTACATCAACATGTGTCCCCTCTTCTTCATGTCTCTTCTACATCAACATGTGTCCCCTCTTCTTCATGTCTCTTCTACATAAACATGTGTCCCCTCTTCTCCATGTCTCTTCTACATCAACATGTGTCCCCTCTTCTCATGTCTCTTCTACATCAACATGTGTCCCCTCTTCGTCCATGTCTCTTCTACATCAACATGTGTCCCCTCTTCGTCATGTCTCTTCTACATCAACATGTGTCCCCTCTTCTTCCATGTCTCTTCTACATCAACATGTGTCCCCTCTTCTTCATGTCTCTTCTACATCAACATGTGTCCCCTCTTCTTCATGTCTCTTCTACATCAACATGTGTCCCCTCTTCGTCATGTCTCTTCTACATCAACATGTGCCCCCTTCGTCATGTCTCTTACATCACTGTGTCCCTCTTCTACATGCTCTTCTACATCAACATGTGTCCCCTCTTCTTCATGTCTCTTCTACATCAACATGTGTCCCCTCTTCTTCATGTCTCTTCTACATCAACATGTGTCCCCTCTTCTTCATGTCTCTTCTACATCATCATGTGTCCCCTCTGTGGAAAGAGACTCTGAAAGTTTCAGGAACAAAGATTCTCTCTTTTTGATCCATTTCTATAAAAACTTGTCTGAAAATGAGCTGATCAGATTTTGGTCATAACGATGTTTTGTCTTGTGTAGCCATTAGCCAATCAGCAACCAAGGTAACCCCCCCCCCCCCCCCTTAGCACCTGAATCTCCTCCTAGAGCACCATTGAGTTCTTTGTAACCAAATGTCTCTCAGAGGGGCGTGGGGAGGGGCTCCTTGTTTTCATCTAAAGTAACAGACAGAGAATCAGCACTTTGGAAACAGGGCTGAAACAGAGGGGGTTATGGGTAATGCTGCAATGACCTGTTTGGTGTTTCAGCCAATCAGAGACAGGCTCTGGATATATCTGAGACCTGTGATATATTGATGAAGAACAGTTTATAGGGGACCTTTTTGCATTGTGCGGAAATGTGCAAACTAATTATAATTTTTTATGTTAAAGTGAATTTGTATTAGGTTGAAATGAATATGATGATGAATGTCCTCTATGATGTTCCCGTGCAGGTTATAATCTGAGCCCTCAGGCGATGAGCATCATCATGAACCGCTACAGCGGGCAGGGAAGAATCGGGTTCGACGACTTCATGAGCTGCTGCATCAAACTCCGTGCGCTGACCGGTGAGTCTGAGGCAGATAGCTTTCTAATAAAATACCAAACATTACTACTGATCCCCAGCAGGCAGTGTGAGCGTCCACCAATCAGAGGGTCTGCGGTTCTGGAGCCTAAATGATCAATTAATTGTATGTAGTGTCTCTACTTTAAAGAGTCCTCGGCTGCTGATGTTCAGGTGTATATCAGTGTGTAGTGTCTCTACTTTAAAGAGTCCTCTCCTGCTGATGTTCAGGTGTATATCAGTATGTAGTGTCTCTACTTTAAAGAGTTCTCTCCTGCTGATGTTCAGGTGTATATCAGTATGTAGTGTCTCTACTTTAAAGAGTCCTCTCCTGCTGATGTTCAGGTGTATATCAGTATGTAGTGTCTCTACTTTAAAGAGTTCTCTCCTGCTGATGTTCAGGTGTATATCAGTATGTAGTGTCTCTACTTTAAAGAGTCCTCTCCTGCTGATGTTCAGGTGTATATCAGTATGTAGTGTCTCTACTTTAAAGAGTCCTCTCCTGCTGATGTTCAGGTGTATATCAGTATGTAGTGTCTCTACTTTAAAGAGTCCTCTCCTGCTGATGTTCAGGTGTATATCAGTATGTAGTGTCTCTACTTTAAAGAGTCCTCTCCTGCTGATGTTCAGGTGTATATCAGTATGTAGTGTCTCTACTTTAAAGAGTCCTCTCCTGCTGATGTTCAGGTGTATATCAGTATGTAGTGTCTCTACTTTAAAGAGTCCTCTCCTGCTGATGTTCAGGTGTATATCAGTATGTAGTGTCTCTACTTTAAAGAGTCCTCTCCTGCTGATGTTCAGGTGTATATCAGTATGTAGTGTCTCTACTTTAAAGAGTCCTCTCCTGCTGATGATCAGGTGTATATCAGTATGTAGTGTCTCTACTTTAAAGAGTCCTCTCCTGCTGATGTTCAGGTGTATATCAGTATGTAGTGTCTCTACTTTAAAGAGTCCTCTCCTGCTGATGTTCAGGTGTATATCAGTATGTAGTGTCTCTACTTTAAAGAGTCCTCTCCTGCTGATGTTCAGGTGTATATCAGTATGTAGTGTCTCTACTTTAAAGAGTCCTCTCCTGCTGATGTTCAGGTGTATATCAGTATGTAGTGTCTCTACTTTAAAGAGTCCTCGCCTGCTGATGTTCAGGCAGTGACGTGCGGTGAGGTTCATGGCTGGTGAGGCACTGACTCTTTCAGAGTCAGATTTACAAATATTATATTTTGACCTTAATCGAAATGTTCGGTTATTTTCAAAAGCTTTTTAGTCTGATGCTTCGATTCATTTTAAACAGACCGTTCAACAAAAGGATACCCAAAATCTAAATATTGGATTGTTCTTTCTTAGTAAGATCCCATGTTCATTACAATGGTGCTCTTACCTTGACTTGAAGATGAAGTCCATGCTATCCTTCTGGACAACAATCTCTATTACTTCTTTGTAAAAGTCCTCCTTATCTTCCTCTAGTTTCAAAAGTCTAGCTTGTTGTTCGCGTCTACCGTCTCTGCGTAGAATAACAGTAGCAACAAGAACCTGTGGGCTCACTTGCGCCCCCTGCAGTGCGGCAGAGGTTATGGCTGCCTCTCCAGGTGCTTTTTTCATTGCCGTTGTATGATGAGACCAGCGAGCCTAAATATCATATATACGTGAGAATAAGTTATTTAGAGACTATGGATGGCGAGGATAAATGTAATAAAGGGATCTACAAACATTACATTGGTGACATACAGTGAGATGGTGCAGGCATGCGCTTAGGGCCCGCTTTTCAGCCAGTTTCTGTGGGGTGACGCATTCTGAGGTGAGGCAGAGCTCATCTGTGCCTCACCTCACCACACAGTAACTGACTGGAGCGCGCTCACAAAATAAGTGCCCGCGTTAAATTAGTGCCCGCGCTCCAGCCAGTTACTGTGGGCTTACGAGAGGCAGAGCTCGTCCTCACTTCTCATCGCTACCCGTAGTTGTAGCAGAGCTCTGGAAAAATGATTTTGACTATAAAAAGCGATTGGAATCAAACAGAAATCACACTTACAACACAGATCAGTGGAGACATTTTATTATTATTACTATTTAGTTTTTCTTTAGTTGTTTTTCCGTTACATTGGAGTATGACAGGTAAGGCTCTGCCTCCCCTGACTGCACATCGCTGTGTTCAGGTGTGTATCAGTCTGTAGTGTCTCTACTTTAAAGAGTCCTCTCCTGCTGATGTTCAGGTGTATATCAGTATGTAGTGTCTCTACTTTAAAGAGTCCTCTCCTGCTGATGTTCAGGTGTATATCAGTATGTAGTGTCTCTACTTTAAAGAGTCCTCTCCTGCTGATGTTCAGGTGTATATCAGTATGTAGTGTCTCTACTTTAAAGAGTCCTCTCCTGCTGATGTTCAGGTGTATATCAGTATGCAGTGCCTCTACTTTAAAGAGTCCTTTCCTGCTGATGTTCAGGTGTATATCAGTATGTAGTGTCTCTACTTTAAAGAGTCCTCTCCTGCTGATGTTCAGGTGTATATCAGTATGTAGTGTCTCTACTTTAAAGAGTCCTCTCCTGCTGATGTTCAGGTGTATATCAGTATGTAGTGTCTCTACTTTAAAGAGTCCTCTCCTGCTAGTGTTCAGGTGTATATCAGTATGTAGTGTCTCTACTTTAAAGAGTCCTCTCCTGCTGATGTTCAGGTGTAGATCAGTATGAAGTGTCTCTACTTTAAAGAGTCCTCCCCTGCTGATGTTCAGGTGTATATCAGTATGTAGTGTCTCTACTTTAAAGAGTCCTCTCCTGCTGATGTTCAGGTGTATATCAGTATGCAGTGCCTCTACTTTAAAGAGTCCTCTCCTGCTGATGTTCAGGTGTATATCAGTATGTAGTGTCTCCTACTTTAAAGAGTCCACTCCTGCTGATGTTCAGGTGTATATCAGTATGTAGTGTCCTCTACTTTAAAGAGTCCTCTCCTGCTGATGTTCAGGTGTATATCAGTATGTAGTGTCTCTACTTTAAAGAGTCCTCTCCTGCTGATGTTCAGGTGTATATCAGTATGTAGTGTCTCTACTTAAAAAGTCCTCTCCTGCTGATGTTCAGGTGTACATCAGTATTTAGTGTCTCCTTTAAAGAGTCCTCTCCTGCTGATATGCAGGTGTATATCAGTATGTAGTTTCTCTACTTTAAAGAGTCCTCTCCTGCTGATGTTCAGGTGTATATCAGTATGTAGTGTCTCTACTTTAAAGAGTCCTCTCCTGCTGATGTTCAGTGTATATCAGTATGTAGTGTCTCTACTTTAAAGAGTCCTCTCCTGCTGATGTTCAGGTGTACATCAGTATTTAGTGTCTCTACTTTAAAGAGTCCTCTCCTGCTGATATGCAGGTGTATATCAGTATGTAGTTTCTCTACTTTAAAGAGTCCTCTCCTGCTGATGTTCAGGTGTATATCAGTATGTAGTGTCTCTACTTTAAAGAGTCCTCTCCTGCTGATGTTCAGGTGTATATCAGTATGTAGTGTCTCTACTTTAAAGAGTCCTCTCCTGCTGATGTTCAGGTGTATATCAGTATGTAGTGTCTCTACTTTAAAGAGTCCTCTCCTGCTGATGTTCAGGTGTACATCAGTATTTAGTGTCTCTACTTTAAAGAGTCCTCTCCTGCTGATATGCAGGTGTATATCAGTATGTAGTTTCTCTACTTTAAAGAGTCCTCTCCTGCTGATGTTCAGGGTGTATATCAGTATGTAGTGTCTCTACTTTAAAGAGTCCTCTCCTGCTGATGTTCAGGTGTATATCAGTATGTAGTGTCTCTACTTTAAAGAGTCCTCTCCTGCTGATATGCAGGTGTATATCAGTATGTAGTTTCTCTACTTTAAAGAGTCCTCTCCTGCTGATGTTCAGGTGTATATCAGTATGTAGTGTCTCTACTTTAAAGAGTCCTCTCCTGCTGATGTTCAGGTGTATATCAGTATGTAGTGTCTCTACTTTTAAAGAGTCCTCTCCTGCTGATGTTCAGGTGTATATCAGTATGTAGTGTCTCTACTGTAAAGAGTCCTCTCCTGCTGATGTTCAGGTGTATATCAGTATGTAGTATCTCTACTTTAAAGAGTCCTCTCCTGCTGATGTTCAGGTGTATATCAGTATGTAGTGTCTCTACTTTAAAGAGTCCTCTCCTGCTGATGTTCAGGTGTATATCAGTATGTAGTGTCTCTACTTTAAAGAGTCCTCTCCTGCTGATGTTCAGGTGTGTATCAGTATGTAGTGTCTCTACTTTTAAAGAGTCCTGTTGCCTAAATAATACATTAATTGTATAAGCGCATTAATGGCGCATTTCCACTACAGCGCGGAGCTCGCTTTAAACGTGCCTTGCCCGGCCCGTTTTTGGTTGCGTTTCGACTTGGCGTAGTTCCGGCTAGCGGGTACTATTTCACAGTTTTTCTGGCCGCATAAAATTGAGGTTCTTTCCGGCCCAACAACCAGGCTGAGTCGGGCTGAGTATGCTAAACTAGAGAGAGAATCGCTGGCAAGGGGGCTACAACTTCAACAAAATGAACATATTTGACCGTGATTTAATTGTAATACACGTTTCAAAATGATGCCGAAGTAACAAAATACTGATACCGGTTAGTAAAAACCATGAATTAATGCTTTGACAAGTCTGCAGACAGACGGCAGGCGGAAAATCTTTTAAAATGCGTGTTTTCTGAATGGAGATCGGCTAAGCTAACGTTATATGCTCCGACCGTCCACACTCACAGCAACGGCCTATACAGACATAAATAAACCAGCGACTGTACGGTGCTACTAAGAGCTAACGGCTGATGTTGGTTTTCTGTGGTTCTCATTGAAGATGACGTCACGGCTCTGCCTACACTGCGTTACTATAGTTACTGCCCCAGTTCCTAAACTGTAATGGTAATGCGTCATAAAGTGAGCCTGTCCTAACGCCTCGCTCGGTAGCCATACCGAGCTAGGCCGAGCGAGGCCGTGTAGTGGCCGCAAAAGACAAGAAAAGCGCCAAACCCCAAAAAGCGTAATAGTGCCTCAAGTTTATTATACTTGTTTTCCTTAGTTGATAAATCAGTTCATTTGGTATCATCTGTTGATTTGCTTGTTGACAATAAATAAAGAGATGTGGAAAAGTGGAAAAACTAAAAATTCAGCAATTTTTTTTTGATGAATCTCATTTTTTGGAGTAAATGTGCAGCATTTTCTCTGCAGTTCTCTTCCCTGAGACGGCCTTTATCTGGGTGTGGAGACACAATGCTCATCGTCAACAGAGAGAGTAATGAGGAAGTTCATTAAAATGTGCTCTAATGTGTTTTTCAGATCAGTTCCAGAGGAGAGACACAACCCGAACGGGCAGAGCCGAGTTTCAGTTTGACGAGGTATGACAACCATTTCATTTGTTATTATTTTATGTATCTTATTAAATATTTTCTTTGTCAATTTTACTTTAACTTTTCAATGTTTATATTCATTATTTATTTTTTTGTTCATATAATGACATTTAATTTCTTTTTATTTTACTTTATTCTATTTTATTTTATTATTTTGTATTCTATACTATTCCAAAATGAAACAACTGATACAAAATGTATTTTCCCCCGAGGGATGAATGAAGTATTTCTCCTCCTGTTTCCTGTGAATGTTGTATTGGATATTAAGGATGTCTCTCTCTGCAGTTCATCCAGGTCACCATGAACATATGAAGCGGGGAAACCTCTCATCATGTCTCTCTGCAGTTCATCCAGGTCACCATGAACATATGAAGCGGGGAAACCTCTCATTAACAGCATGGACTCTTTTTATTGTAATAGTTTTAATCATTGTACAAACACGGTTAAAATGTCACTTTTTCACATTCATAACTTACGTATATTTTTATTTTAACTACTAGCAACAATAAAGTAACCTCAGTCTGATAACCCTCTGTACCTATGTGTGTGAACATGTACGACATTCATAAAAACCCTTTCTGGCTCTTATTGAATCCTTACATTACGTTTCATAAACTCAGCTGATGCTTTCATACAAAGCGACAACACGTGCATTGGTTTTAACATTTTGTTTTAATCCTACTCAATAGAGTGGACAGAAAAACAGGGGAAATAAGAGATCAACCATAAATTAAGGTTTAAAATAAAACCGACTTATTTGATCAGTTTTTAAAACATTATTTATTTAAGCAACATTTTGTTGTTCGTATCAAGTTTTCTTAGTGGCGCTTTTACACTTCTATAACTGCAGGAAGGGAGAAGTACTCAGAACTTGTACTTGAGTAAAAGTAGAAGTACTCAGATCTTGTTCTTGAGTAAAAGTAGAAGTACTCAGAGCTTGTACTTGAGTAAAAGTAGAAGTACTCAGAACTTGTACTTGAGTAGAAGTACTCAGAACTTGTACTTGAGTAAAAGTAGAAGTACTCAGAACTTGTACTTGAGTAAAAGTAGAAGTACTCAGATCTTGTACTTGAGTAAAGTAGAAGTACTCAGATCTTGTACTTGAGTAAAAGTAGAAGTACTCAGATCTTGTACTTGAGTAAAAGTAGAAGTACTCAGAACTTGTTCTTGAGTCAAAGTAGAAGTACTCGGGTCTTGTACTTGAGTCAAAGTAGAAGTACTCATAGCTTGTACTTGAGTTAAAGTAGCAGTACTCGGGTATTGTACTTGAGTAAAAGTAGAAGTACTCAGATCTTGTACTTGAGTCAAACTAGAAGTACCAGAGTGTAGCAATACTCTGTTACAGTAAAAGTCCTGCATTCAAAATGTTCTTCAAGTTAAAGTACAATGTTGTTTATATTTCACATCATTCATCCAAATCTGTAAAGTAACTAAAGGTATTAAATACATGAAGTGGAGTAAAAGTACAAAGTAAACATGGAAATACTGAAGTCAAGTACAAGTATCTCAAAATTGTACTGAAGTACAGTTCTTGAGTAAATCTGTAGTCACTTTACACCTGAATGGATGGACTGATGGATGATGCTTGAAAACAGGAAGCTTTTCATATATCTTGTAAGTTGTTACAGTTCAATGGTAGAGAGGAGTGTGAGTGTGAGCATATATTAAATCAAATGAATAGATGATGATATGAACTGATGTTACTGAAGGCTCTCTATTTTGAAAAGAAAACTGTCTCGTCTATCATCTGAATTCCTAAGCACACAGCTTCTTCTGGCTTCACACATCATGGAAAAGTACTAGAATATTTCACACAGGCACAAGTAAAAGTGAAACTGTGAAATTACACCTGTAGATAAAAGAAAGTAGGTCAGTTATATACACTCTAAATACACATAACTGGACATAACAAGGGCGGATAATGATCATGTTGTATAATATATAACTATCCAACTGTTAAATAAAATCCCTTACCAACAACACAACACAAAAACACATTCTCTATAGGCAGATATTTGGAGCCTGTGCTACAAGGGATTATTACCTAGACATATCAACTTTTTCAGTAGAGATGTATAGAAAGACAGGAAAACTCATAAAAGCTATAAAAGTGTATTTATCTGGTATCTCTTACATTTAGTAAAAACAACTTTTTATACACTTTTATATACTTCATTTACGATTGAAGATTGTAAAGAATGTGTTGTTTGCTTATAATACTCTGTTATTTTACTCAAGAAGCCTCTGTCACCTGTTACACAATATATCGAGAGCAACAATGAATGGTGTCAAAGTCCTTATATCTGCACTCAAAACTGGTAAAAAAAAAGGCATCCAATCAAAACAGCGCATAGACGCAACGAGCCAATCACAGCACAGTACTGGGCGGGACCAGGCGGAAGAGTTTTGAGATCTCTCGTGTCAAATAACCCCTGTTTTTGTTACTTTATACCCGCCTGATAATCAATTATATCCGCCGGAATGGTCCATAAGAAGACTGATATTCTTACAGTGAGGTTTTAATTAAAAAATGATTTCAGAAACACATTTTATTAATGCCTGACTCCCTGTAATCCGTGTGTTTTCTATACAACCAACCTCCAACTGACGTGTCACACCTCCTTGTTATGTTTTTAGTCATGTTAAATTTCACTTTCACTTTGGCAAATAATAACTGCGCACTAAAGGTAAGCTGAACTGCGGATTAAACCCATCGACATATACACGTATATTATTGAACACTTTGATTCAGTCTCACTACATATTAAATATGTATTATGTAATACTACTCGTGCTGTAACGTTACCTCGAATGCTATCTAGTTTATAAATATCTTTAACCGTGTATGCTAGCTAGGACTCAGTTAGCTTAGCACAAACTTCCTCATTGTTCTAGAAAACTTTTTAACGGCTTTATAAACCGTTAATGTGACGGTTGGTCGCGATGTTTTGTGTTGCTGTACATTGTTACCACAACCAAAGCTGAATTAAAGTTAGTGATATTATTATAAAAGTTGTTGTTTATCTTTGTCGGACATTTTGTTTTATAAGGAGATCTTAACGTAATGTGTTATTTCCAATTACAGGAAACTCTTGACATTTGAAAAATATATGTCATATGTATTATTGTATTATTGCTACATAAACATTATATTGCAGTTTTAGTTTCGCCAACTCCGTTTCTGATATGCAATAAGACTACAAAATATGATGTATTTTCGATCTTTCCAATCTCTCTGCCCCGTCTGTGTGCGAGAGCGCGGAGCAGTTTACACACACGGTGCTGCTGCATGCATGCAACACACACACACACACACACACACACACACACACACACACACACACACACACACACACACACACCACACACACACACACACACACACACACACCACACACACACACACACACACACACACACACACACACACACACACACACACACACACACACACACACACACACACACACACACACACACACACTCCCAGGGCGGCCTCTGGCCAACTTGTGGCCCCACGCAAATAATGAAATAGTACAATTTATATTTTAGGCAGGATTTTTAATCTGTATTTTTTTGGTACTATTTAACTGATTAGTTTTTATTGATTTATTACAAATAGCACATAAAAGGTTCTGATAACAGAATATGCAGGTGAAGGACAACAACCCTTAAGGCTTATAGGCTTATTGAGGTATTCAGAAAGCGACCTGAATAGTTTTATAAATACAATTTAATGCGAAGGCAAGGTTTTTATTTTGTATTTAAATCTGTTGTTTTTCTATTGTAGAAACTGATCTGAATACTTCTTTGCATTTAATATGTTTTTATACACGTCTTTATTTTCTCAAGGGAATTGAAGGTCCTGATTGATTCCAACCTAAATCATAACTCTGTAATGACTCCTGCTAACACAACATGTTTGATGTGTTTTCAGGTCCTGTTTGCACCATGAGTGAATCTGAGGATGAAGAGGGGGGTGTCCCGCCCTCCAGCAGCACTCTGTCTGAGGGACATGAGAGGTGAGAGGAAGATCTCTGAGATGTGACTGATTCAGAAAAGTGACAGTTGCATACACTTAGCAGAATATGGTGTCAGTTTCTCTTCCCGCCACATGATTACAATAATCAAGATCACTTTACTGGAATGGTTTTGTTCTTGTTTGCTTATGAAATATAAAATGTGGCCTTGGAGGCCCTTGTGACTTTTTATCTTTATATTTGATATGACCTTCGGCCAGCAGATAAGTGTACCAAAGTTCACCATTAACGTCTGTTGGATTTTTATATGGTTTTATTGTTTTACCACGTCAATAAAATAAATATTTTGCAGCCTCAATATTATTTTAAAGACAAACGCTATGTGTTATGTGCACTACACCTGTTGACAGCTTTTCTTAAGTTCGTTAAGATATTTTATTTATATCACCCAAAAATAACACTGATCTTTTTTCAGTCATTGAGCTTCATATTCTTCCACCTCTCTCTCAACGCTCCATTTCTTTCAGGACTGAGCAGGAAAGAGCTGATTCTCCTGAACCATCCCCCGTGTCCATGAGGAGTGACCGGTCCACAGGGGACCCCACAGCTTTCAATCAGTCAGATTTAAGTCCTAAGTAAGTTGACAGAACCTTCTGAGCTCAAATTTACCTATAAGGAATTTAAAATGTAAGACATTTGTTGTTAGTTTTACCATTACAACCAACCTGAATAATCTTGCTGCACTTTGCATGAAAGTGCTTCACTGCTCAGTCTGACAGCTGCAGAGCAAGGAGGACGGAAATAAAAGTCACAAACTCACCAGCACTCAGAAAAATATGGCATGTGGACACGGGCCCTTACTATATAACTATTCTATATATGCTGTCTTGCAATCTGGCCCCTGGTCACTACAATTAGTTAATGTTGTAACGAGTAAAACCTTCTTCCATGTACCTTTTACAAGCTCCTAATACTTTCGCCTGTCTTTTGTCAATTCTCCATTTCATTCAGGACTGAGGAGAAAAGAGCAGATTCTCCTGCACCGAGCTGTGTGTCCATGAAGAGTGACCGCTCCATGGATTACCCTACAGCTTTCCAACAGCAACATTCAATTCCTAAGTAAGTTAACCGGACCTTTCGAGCTCATATTGTCTTTGAAAATATACAACAATACTATATGTGTTGTCTACAGTCTGCCACCTGGTCACTACAATTAGTTCATGTTGTAACTTGTGACACCTGCTTCCTTCAGGCAATACGTTACTAACTTCTTAGCCTGTCTTTTGTCAATTCTCCATTTCTTCAGGACTGAGGAGAAAAGAGTAGATTTTCCTTCATCAAGCTGTGTGTCCATGAAGAGCGACCGCTCCATGGATTATCCTATGGCTTTCAAACGGCAAGATGCAATTCCTAAGTAAATTAACCGGACCTTTGAGCTCATATTGTCTTTGAAAAGATACAACAATACTATATGTTCGTGTCTACAATCTGGCCCCTGGTCACTACAATTAGTTAATGTTGTAACGAGTAAAACCTTCTTCCATGTACCTTTTACAAGCTCCTAATACTTATGTCTGTCTTTTGTCAATTCTCTATTTCATTCAGGACTGAGGAGAAAAGAGCAGATTCTCCTGCACCGAGCTGTGTGTCCATGAGGAGTGACCGCTCCATGGATTACCCTACAGCTTTCAAGTAAGTAAACTGAACCTTTTGAGTTTAAAAAGTCTTAGAAAAGATACAACAAAACTACTGTATGTGGGCTTGCATACAGTCTGACACCTGGTGGCTACGATTAGTTAATGTTGTAACACCATCTCTCTGCTCCTGATAATTCTACCTGTCTTTTATCAAATCACCTTTTTTCAGGACTGAAGCGAAACAGGGAGATTCTCCTGCACCGAGCTGTGTGTCCATGAAGAGCGACCGCTCCATGGATTACCCTACAGCTTTCCAACAGCAACATTCAATTCCTCAGTAAGTTAACCGGACCTTTTGAGCTCATATTGTCTTAGAAAGGATACAACAACACTATATATGCTTGCTTACGGTCTGACACCTGGTGGCTACGATTAGTTAATGTTCTAACTTGTAACACCTGCTTTCTTCAGGCAATGAGCTTCTAACATCTTAGCCTGTCTTTTGTCAATTCTCCATGTATTGCAACACTTACATTCTTCAGTGTTTGTTTGACTTAAATCAAACACTAATGAGTTTTTTCTCCCCAGGGATCAACAGGAAACTTCAGAGGTTCATACAGAGTTGGACTCCATATTCATGGTGTGTAAACATGCTCGCCTTTTAATGTAATATATTGAATTGTTTGAGGTAGTGTTCTTATATTCATGCAGTAGATCATGCAGTTTGGAGAAACTACAAAGTTATGTTGATGCTACACTGATTTGTAATAGGGAGAAAGGTGCCTCTCTCAGTCCCACTCTGCGGCCAAAACGCATGTTCCTGCACGTTGCATGTAATCTTGAAGTGCGAGTCGTGACGTCTCCTGTGCAAAGATTGTAAGATTATCGGCATTAAGTTCACTTTAGTAAAATGTAGGGCTGTCAAGTTAACTCAAAAAAAAATTAACGCCACTAATTATTTTACCCGCGATTAACGCGTGTATTTTTTTCCTCGGCCGCCCCATAGTTTGAGCGCATCGAGTTTAAAATACCATCTACAAGCTGATGCTGACAGCCCCGCTCCCGCCGCCCGCTTGCTACAGACCACACTTCCACGCTCACCGGCAGGCACCGACTGGCTGTTGGGAGGACCGGGAGGGTGTGTGTATGTGTGGCCCGAGCGAGCGAGAGAGAGACCTTACGTGTATTGTTGTTGTTAGCATCTGGTGCTAGCTAGCTGCGCTAACGGATATAAGGAGCTGTTTAACTGAAAACAGAGGAGCGACATTTCGCCAACAACTGCGCCGAGCACTTGACTTTATGCAGGAAGCCAGACAGTGGGACATTGTACGAGAAGTCAGCACACTCAGCACGGATAGTGCGCAACATGATTGCAGCGTCCAGGCAGCTCCCGTTCGAGCATATGCCTTGAGTTGCACATAGCTCCAACGATCCAGTCACACACACACACACACACACACACACACACACACCACACACACACACACACACACACACACACACACACCACACACACACACACACACACACACACACACACACACACACACACACACACACACACACAGGTTGTTGTGTTTAATATTCATGAGAATATTTGCCATTGTTCAAATGATAATAAACATTTGTATAAAGCATATTTGTCCACTTATATGTTGATAAGAGTATTCAAAACTTGAAAAATATTCCTCTAAGGTACATTTAGAACGGATCAAAAATGTGCGATTAATCGCGATTAACTATTTTAATCGACTGACAGCCCTAGTAAAATTGGATCATATTGAATGAATTAAATGTTTCCTTGGGTTTCCTCTGATGTTCTCTAGAAACTCCGCTTCAACTATCAGCTATTTACTGGTAATGTTAACTGCTGCCAACGCAAGTTAGCAACAATCTGAATATGAGCACACAGGCTAATGACAGGGGTTTGGACCGCTGGGAGGAAAAGGTTTTCTGGGTGGGGGGGGCAGGGTGGGATGGGGATCGCCGGGCGTCGACATGTTGTGCAAGAATCAGAGCAGACACTGGAGTAGTGATCAGAACCTCTACGTACGTTTTATTGACCTTGCTTGTTTTTCTTGTGTTAGCAAGTGAATTGCAACAGTGACACAAAAATGATTATTAATGAATTTTTTGGACCTATGTCAATTTTATTGAATTGCAGCATCTTGAGGAAAATATATTTGCTTATCTGAAGAAAGAGCTTAAGAAGTTCCAGGAGGTTTTGAGAACTAATAACCCAGAATGCTTCGAGAGCCAAGGTAAGTCTGAAGAAGTGGTTGATGGGGAAGAGGAAGAGCAGAGGAGGAGCAGAAGAGAGGCATTTCTGAAGATCACACTGGACTTCTTGAGAACAATGAAGCAAGAGGAACTGGCAGACTCACTGAGAAACAGTAAGACGTTTAAAATAAATGTTAAAATCATAGATTCACACGTCTACAGTTTACTGTCAATATTCAAATCTGCATTAGACCTATACATACTGGCTTAACACACCATCGAAGGCTGTTTGTCTAGCTGCGGGCGGGCAGAAAGAGCCTACTGTTGCGTCGACTTTTCAAGGGCGCTGAGGCAGCTTTCGCCTTTAGTTGCTAAGTGACCATAACCAGCGAACAGTGCCATCCTATCTTCCAGGTGTTGGTTTTTAAAGTTCTATTAAAATATTGTCCATGGGACAGCATTGTTTTCCCTAGAAAACGCAGTTTGCTTCGCTTCGCTCTGCTCTTGGTGTGTGTGGGTATGTGCATGACACGAGCACTTGAGAGACACAAGAGCAGAGATTATTAATGTTCGTGTCACATTTGATCAGTGGTTCTTATAAAATGAAGAAAGGTGAAACACTGGACAGATCTTCAAGTCAGTGTAATGTCACTAAAATAAACAATTTCTGCCTATTGGCTGCATACCAATATTTACAAAAGTCAAGATATCTCTCGGCTGTGATTGGTTGTTCCTTTTCACATTACAAGCAGTGCAGTCCTTCCCAACGTTTAACTTTCAACTCTGGGCGTTGCTTTCTCATTTCCAGCCGTGTCTTTGTTGACAATAATGAAAATATGCAAGCCTAACCCCTAGTTTCCACTGGGTCCGTCTGCGGCGCGTTACGGCTGCGGCGCGGTTTTGGTGGGTTGCTGTATTTTAGCGGTAAAAAAAATGCATTCATCATCATAATTATTCTATATAATTTACACACAGTGCCTGTAAACCGAAGGAGAACGCTGGCCTTTATTCTCCTACTGGAAAGACTACAGAGGAGGGATGGGGGGAGGAGAAGGAACAGGTTTTGGGGGGTGGGCCGGATGCTGTCACCGTTCCACTTCCTGCCCGACATTACCTTACGGCTGCGTCGCGTCGAAAAATAGACTTCAATCCTATTTCGAGCGGAGCCCAGCGGCGAGACGCTTCTGGGACGCTTCTGAGCCGTAACGCGGCGCGTCTGGTGGAATAGCACCCATTGACTAGAGTGGCCGCGATCCTTGCGGACGCCGCGGCGCAGCCGCAACGCGCCTGTAACACGCCGCAGACGGACCCAGTGGAAACTAGGGGTAAACACGGCCAGTGTACAGCCCCTAATCTTTTTTTTGTCTTGTAGAATTTCTTGCTGCAATGGGCCAACCTAAACTCAAATCTAATCTGAAGAAGAAGTTTGAATTTGTGTTTGAGGGGATTACTAAAGCAGGAAATCCATCCGTTCTGAACCAGATCTACACAGAGCTGTACATCACAGAGGGAGAGACTGCAGAGGCCAATAAAGACCACGAGGTCATACAGATTGAGAAAGCATCCTGGAAACCAGACACACCAGAAACAACAATCAGATGTGAAGAAGTCTTTAAGGCCTCACCTGGAAGAGATAAACCAATCAGAACAGTGATAACAAAGGGTGGGGCTGGCATTGGGAAAACAGTCTTAACACAGAAGTTCACTCTGGACTGGGCTGAAGGCAAAGCCAACCAGGACATACAGTTCATATTTCCCTTCTCTTTTAGAGAGCTGAATGTGGTGAAAGAAAGAAAGTACAGCTTGGTGGATCTTGTTCATTACTTCTTTCCTGAATTTGAAAAAGCAGGAGTCTGGAGGCTTGAAGAGTCCCAAGTCCTGTTGATCTTTGACGGTCTGGATGAATGTCGACTTCCTCTGGACTTCCACAAAACTGAGATCCTGACTGATGTCACAGAGTCCACCTCAATGGATGTGCTGCTGACAAACCTCATCAGGGGGAAGCTGCTTCCCTCTGCTCGCCTCTGGATAACAACAAGACCTGCAGCGGCCAATCAGATCCCTCCTGAGTGTGTGGACATGGTGACAGAGGTCCGAGGGTTCACTGACCCACAGAAGGAGGTTTACTTCAGGAAGAGATTTAAAGATAAGGAGAAGGCCGACACCATCATCTCCCACATCAAGACCTCACGAAGCCTCCACATCATGTGTCACATCCCAGTCTTCTGCTGGATCTCTGCTTCAGTTCTGCAGGATGTGTTGAAAACCAGAGAGGGAGGAGAGCTGCCCAAGACCCTCACTGAGCTGTACATCCACTTCCTGGTGGTTCAGTCCAAAGTGAACAAAGTCAAGTATGATGGAGGAGCTGAGACAGATCCACACTGGAGTCCAGAGACCAGGAAGACGGTCGAGTCTCTGGGGAAACTGGCTTTTCAGGAGCTGAATAAAAACAACATCATCTTCTATGAATCCGACCTGACGGAGTGTGACATCGATATCAGAGCAGCCTCAGTGTACTCAGGAGTGTTCACTGAGGTCTTTAAAGAGGAGAGAGGAATGTACCAGGACAAGATGTTCTGCTTCGTCCATCTGAGCGTCCAGGAGTTCCTGGCTGCTCTTCATGTCCATCTGACATTCTTCAACTCTGGTGTCAATCTGTTGTCAGAAGAACAAAGATCCTCACTGTGGTCTAAATTGATCGGAGTCAGACCTGAACACTTCTATCAGAGTGCTGTGGACAAGGCCTTACAGAGTCCAAACGGACACCTGGACTTGTTCCTCCGCTTCCTCATGGGTCTCTCATTGGAGACCAATCAGACACTCCTACGAGGCCTGGTGACACAGACAAAAAGCCGCCCACTGACCAACCAGGAAACAGTTAAATACATCAAGAAGAAGATCGAAAATAATTTCTCTGCAGAGAAAAGCATCAATCTCTTCCACTGTCTGAATGAACTGAACGAGAGTTCACTAATTCATGAGATCCAGAAAGGCCTGAATTCAACTTCTCTGTCCACTGATAAGTGGTCACCTGTTCAGTGGTCAGCTTTGGTCTTCATCCTATTGTCTTCACAAAACGATCTGGAGGTGTTTGACCTGAAGACATACTCAGATTCAGAGGAGGATCTTCTGAGGCTGATGCCAGTGGTGAAAGCCTCCACCAAAGCTCTGTAGGTTGAAAATGAGGGTGCTCCAAGGGGGATTTTTTTGGGGTGTTATTACTTACTATTTTAAGTCTTTTAATTATTGTGAAGCATTATTTATTATCTAAACCATTCTAAAAAATGAATATGAAATATTAAAGAAACATCTTACGTTTTTGTTGCCAATCCTTCTTCAGGCTGAATTGCTGTAATCTGTCAGAGAAAAGCTGCAAAGCTCTGTCTTCAGTGCTGAGCTCTGAGTCCTCCAGTCTGAGAGAGCTGGACCTGAGCAACAACGACCTGCAGGATTCAGGAGCGAAGCTGCTCTGTGAAGGACTGCAGAATCCACACTGTAAACTGAAATCTCTCAGGTCAGGGTTCATTCATTTGTTTAACAATTGTTGTATGAAAGGTGCTATACAAATAGATAGACAAAGTATTTAGAAAGAGAAGTGTCCAGTTTAGTTTGATGTATTACAGTGTCTGTTTATTGTTAACTGTGGAGAACCAGCAATAAACAGATGTTTCCATCGGCACCCGAACGGACCGTTCATCTTTTCTCCGTGATAAATAAAAGCCTGTGATAAATAAAAGACGAGCTGCGTCAGAACTTGCCGGTGAGCATCCAAACTACGGTTTAGGAGCCTAGATACTGATAGTAAAGAATGTAACAGAACTTTTGCTCATGAAATGTGACGTTGTCCCAGTCTTTTCATCAATCATCCTTTTACAGAAGGGCATTTTGCCTGCTCTTATTGTAAAAGCACACAGCACGATGCGGGGTAGTGTGTCCAGTGGCGTTTTTATATGTACAAAAGTGGTGGGGCACAAAAAACGTAGATGTCTATACATAAGCTTCTGCAGTGACGTGCAGTGAGGCACCGACTCTTCAGGTTTACAAATATTATATTTTGACCTAAATCAAAAATATAATATTATTTTCAAAAGCCTCTTTAGTCTGATGCTTCGATTAATTTTAAACAGACAGTTCAACAAAAGGATACCCACAAAATTAAATGTTATCATTTAAATATTGAATTGTTCTCTCTTAGTAAGATCCCATTTTCAATAAAATTGCGGTCTTGACTTGAAGATGAAGTCCATTTGCCTATCCTTCTGGACAAAAATCTCTTACTTTTTTGTAAAAGTCCTCCTTATCTTCTTGTAGTTTCAAAAGTCTATCATAAATCTAATCGATTAGATTTATGATTAGAAAATTATAAAAGTAGGGTAGACATGTGGATATTATCCGGCTGAACAAAACGTGCATTTATCTAACAGGTACGTTTCCCACAGATCTTATTTTGAGCTATTTTCTAAAATCCTATGGAGAAATCTCATTGCTTGAAACAATGCACAGTTTACTTCCGGGTTTTAGGATGCGTCACTGCACCTCTCTCGTCTCTTCACACACTACACTTTTCGCTGCACACGTACTTACAGCCTAACCTGTACTGGAGAGCATGTGTGTGAAGAAGCAGGAAGTAAAAAGGAACTCACCTTGTGGTATAACCGGCAAGAAAGAAAGCCTTTGAGCTCCAAACTGTTTCAGAGAGAATCCTTGATAATCCATGATATGGCGTTTCATCACGGCAGTATTTAGTTTAGACAGTAGCTGCCGGGTCCCCATGAGCTCAGACCCCTCCTTTTTAAAGCTTTATACCCCAAATCAGCACTTTTGAAACAGGAAGTGAAACAGAGGGATATGAGGCATGGCTAGAATGGGTGATCTGTTTGGTATTTTGAGCAAAACACTTCATAGACATGTTTTTAATATATTTGTATATATCTGAGACCTATGCTATTGCCTACAAATATCATGATAGGTCCACTTTAAGACAAAACTTGTTTGAGTCCAAGTCCGATCGTCAATGTGCGAGTCCGAGTTAGAGTCCGAGTTAGAGTCCGAGTCCTCATGCGCAAAAATGCAAGGGTTCAAATCCATTACAGTCCTGAAAATCGGCCGAGTCCAGGACTCGAGTACTCCAAGTCTGATATGCACTACAGTGCACAACAGTCTGTGTAAAAATAATGCACCAGAGTAAGTGGGAAAGGGGTCATTGGCATGGCCTTGGATTTACGGCCTTGTTCTTTACAAATCTCCTGTTAACAAAAGGTCTTCAACACATTTTATATTCTTGTAATAAAACCCTTAATTGTGTGTGCAGGTTATCAGGCTGTTTGATCACAAAGAAAGGCTTTTCTTCTCTGGCCTCTGCTCTGAGATCCAACTCCGTCCTGAGAGAGCTGGACGTCAGCTTCAATAATCCAGGAAACAAAGGAGTGAAACTTCTTTCTGCTGAAAGATTTGAATCTCTCAGGTATGGACACATGGGTTGAGTTTGTTTATTCAGTAGCTCAAAAAGTAGTTTAGAGTAAGTCATTAAGTGCTGATCTGACTTTGTTTTCACCCCAGGGTGGACCATGGTGGACAGCAGTTAATGAAACCGGGTCTAAGGAAGTGTAAGTGTGTTTTTATTAAAGAAAGTGAACAGGTTGAAACACAGGATGACAAACTGTTGTTCTTAGAAAACCTTGCTGTAAATGTATCTTGAACAACACCATAGGGATGCATCCCTTTCTAAATAAGGATCTAGCCCAAATGCTTAAAGATCCGCATGTCCTGCCTGGACTGCTGCAACCTCCTTGTGAGATAAAATATTGAAAATCTTCAATGGCGCCCAAAGCCTACCATTCACTGGTTCACTTTGTGGGCTGTTTGGTCCGGACCTGGTTTCACTGGTCCGAACTGAAAAGTCTAAAATCCTGTTCAAATGAGGTAGTCCTGAAAGGGCTCTTGGAATCTACAGTCATGCACGTGTCTAGCTGTGATCCAAGCTAGAAGGTAACATTCAGATGCTGAAATGCTCACATTAACGATGCTAATATTCTCTCCATCAGACGCCCGTAAACTGACACTGGACCCAAAGACGGCAAACAAAAATCTCATTCTGTCCGACAACAACAGGAAGTTGACAGCGAGCAGAGAGACGCAGCCATATCCTGATGATCCAGAGAGATTTGACTACTGGAAACAGGTTCTGTGTACAGATGGTCTGGACGGTCGCAGTTACTTTGAGGTAGGATGGACAGGACATGTTTATATAGGAGTGACTTACAGAGGAATCAAAAGGAGAGGAGACAGGGAGGACTGCTGCCTTGGAAGGAATGACCACTCCTGGAGTCTGAGCTGCTCTGAAAAAGATGGTTACTCTATCCTGCACAGTAACAAGAGAGAACAGATCCCTGTCCCCATCTCGAACACAGTGGGGGTGTACCTGGACTGGCCTGCTGGCACTCTGTCCTTCTACAGGATCTCTGCAGACAAAGTCACCCACATCCACACCTTCCACACCACATTCACCGAGCTGCTCCACCCTGCCTTCAGGGTAAGGATGGACATGCAGAACTCGTCAATGTCTTTGTGTGAGATTTGGAAACAAAGCCCCAATATCAAGACCCCCTGACTTTGAGGCGCGTTTTCCTGCTAAAACCTGTGAGGGCACTTTCAAGTCGTCCAGTGCTGTGACTCACTGTGACACATCTTCATGCAGATATTTACTAAGTCAACATTTTTGCAGACTTTGCCCGAGGGATTTACCCACAACTTCTAACAGTATGATGATAAAACATGGCGTTACTGAGCGAAGCCCTTAAGCGTTAAAAGCAAGGAGGACCAATGAAAAGATGCCGAGATGTCGAAAAAAGTGCAAAAAACAACAGTACAAATAAGTGATAAAAAAGTGAGTGAAAAAAACGACAGTTGCCGGCGATGTCGAAAAAAAGAGAACATTTTAATTTACAGAAAACATTTTGCTGACATGGAAAATTCTGATATATAAAAAAATGAAATCACAAGAAATCAAGCATTGAAAAAACTGCCAGGTGATTGCTGTTAAATCTCGACGGTAAAGAGTAGAGATTAGGATTTTCTATCTTTGAGCGGGTTATATATATATATATATATATGTATCATGAATACAATCGTTTTGTGTATACAACAAACTGAATGCTAATCAGTTAACAGCTACTACCTGCAACCATAATGTACCTAAGTGCACTTTCATTTTAAAAAGTGACGTTTTAAAATACATAATCGTATAAACCATTAAACAGTGAAACATCAGGCAAACAGAATTTTAAATGTTGAATCATTGTAATATTACATGTTATGCCAATTTAGACAAAACATGGCATGCAGGACTTAGTTAGGACACAGGCTGAAATATAGTATCATCATAATAATAAGCTCAACATTTTGGATTGTATTATTTAAAATGTTATTATTTGAGTCAAAGTGAAGAAGTAACCAAATCAGATTTTGTTTTTCAATGAATGAATTACAGTTTCATGGTTATATGTTGTATATTTTGTACATGTATGCACATAATTACATTGAGTTTCTCTCTTTTGAGGTTGCAGTGAATAATGTACTTTTTATAATTGTGTGTCTCTCAATGCCCTGTTATTATATAAGCTCTTTGTTGTAGTGGCTGCACATATTATACTTTTTTAAAACAATATATTAATCTCCAGCTCTTCCAATTAATTACATTACTACACATCTGTATTCATTCATGGTATCATTGCATCACCAGCCCTAGTCCTCAGTCTAGCATAATCCACTGGGCACCGTTACGACCCCCTCCACTCCACTAGGGGTCTCTGCCTTTGTGTTCTGCTGGCTGGCTCTTGTTTGTCATTCAGGTGATCAACCTGATAAGCCACACCTGGAAGGTTTCTCATTTCTCTAATTTCCCCTCCTCGACTCCTCCGCTCGCATCTCCTGCGGGCGGGACTAAGACACGAGGATAGGAGTCGAGGAGGGGAAATAGAGAAATGAGAAACCTTCCTGGGCCGTCTACATAAAAAGCCAACACCAACCCATACTGCCCTCTCGGCCGCGTCTTTGTTTCTGCACAGTTTCACACACCCGGACATGCAATCATTACTGATGACTGTGTTTATTAGGTTTCTTTGAAGACCTTTGGTTGTAGTAAATAAATATGCTTTTTGTTACACTTAACTTGTCTGGTGGTCTCCCATCTTTGTTGCAGCCTATGAGTCGGGCGTAACAGCACCTATAAAGTCATGCAGTGGATATATATCATGAAATATCACGTAACCTCCTCATTTAGCACTTTCCAGGTATTGATCCATTAATCTGACACTTATATATTTTAACTGGTAAAGCTGACTTTAATTACTTATACTCTTTGTACTGTTTCTGATTTCATGTAAAGTGTCTTTGAGCATTAGGAAAAGTGCTATACAAATCCAATGTATTATTAGAAGTATCTTAGTTTAGGTCTCCCATTATAGTACATTATAATTCATTTAACATTTCTAACCTTATTTAACAATATTAACCTGCAAAGAAATATGTAACTGTCAAATAAATGTACATTAGTAAAGAGTACAATATTTGCTCCCAAGTTTTAGTGGAATATAAATATATGATAGCATAAAATGAAAATACTCAAGTGAAGTACAAGTACCTCTTAATAGTACTTAAGTCAATTTATGTGGTAACTTTTCCAACACTAATCTATTATATGAACTCATATATTGGATAATAAGGTCCACTGTTTGAAAAGCATGTGATAAGTAGATATTACTTACCAGTTTATGAACTATATTTTCAGTTAACCTGTTGATTGGATTGGTTATTTTGTGTTTTTTTGTAAATATTGATTGTTCTTGCATTTCGATGTGTTGTTTTTTTATATACCTGGGAAAGAGTATTTCGATCTTCCTGTGTACAAACATATTTTGAGATTGACAATAAAGTTGACTTTGCCTTTGACTTGATGTACATTTTAATGAACCATTTCGTTTTCTCTGTACTCGTTTCATTTATAATTTTAAAGGTTGTAGTAACACAACAGACCAGGAGTTTCAAAATCTGAAATTGTAAAAACAATCCTGTTTACCTTCTTTCACCAAATGCATTGTTAAATATTATGTGATATTTTTGTTAATTGTTGTAATATGTCTTCACTCATGTAATTTCACCAGATTCCTCTTTACCTTTTTATTGTGGGAAGTAGCAATTATCCCAATTTAACAAAGTTATCCAAAAAACGCAAACTGAAAGAAATAGACTTCAGATATTGATAAGGGAAATCTTGAACTCTCAACAAGTTACTTCAGTGTTTAATGTTTATGTATTTGAAAAGTGAAGATTTGTGAATGTAGGAAATAAAATGACAGCTCTTAAAGGTCCCATGTCATGCTTTTCTGGTTATTACCCGTCCCCTTGTGTTATGAAGGTTTTTCTGCATGTAAACGGTCTGCAGAGTGTAGGAGCAAACACAGTAGTGGTGGCTTAAAGCCCACCTCTGCTCCGCGCCGTCCTTTAGATGAGCCTGGTCAGATTTAATAAAAGAAGGAGTTCAAAACACCGGCATAAAAGTTATAACAATAATCTGATTTTAATACAGTAAAAAATACAATACGAAATACAGAGTGCCCTGAAACAGAGCACTCCGGGCTCCCCGCTCTACTGCCGTGCGATACAGATACCGGGACCAGCCAGTCAGAAACAGGGAGCATTTTGCATGACTACACAACAGTATATATGGACATATTTGGGGCGGAGAGTCACTTCTTATCTTCCACCGGACTCCACTCCTTTAATTTCCCAAGGAAGGTTTCACACAAACTATTCTTTTAAAACAATCAAACATTGTACACAGATATATTGGTGCTTGGGATTATATTGGCCCCAGAAAGAACCTTGAAAAAGAACATGTGTGTGTGCTAGTGAGGGAATGTGTGTGTGTGTGTGTGTGTGTGTGTGTGTGTGTGTGTGTGTGTGTGTGTGTGTGTGTGTGTGTGTGTGTGTGTGTGTGTGTGTGTGTGTGTGTGTGTGTGTGTGTGTGTGTGTGTGTGTGTGTGTGTGTGTGTGTGTGTGTGTGTGTGTGTGTGTGTGTGTGTGTGTGTGTGTGTGTGTGTGTGTGTGTGTGTGCTGATGAGCGGAGGTGTATGTGTGTGTGTTGGTGATATCTGGGTCAAGGAGTTTATGTGTGTGTGCTGGAGACAGGAGGTGTATGTGTGTGTGTCAGGGTGTCTGGCTCATGGAGTGTAGGTAAGAAGGTTTATATATATAGGATTACTTTAAAACAGTCCCAAATAATACATGTTCACTTCAATACAGTTCAAGATAATACCTGTTTACTTTAATAAAGTTATTAAAACAAAGTTCCTCAAAAAATGGGATATTGAAACAAAGTTCCTCAAAAAATGGGATATTAGAACAAAGTTCCTCAAAAAATGGGATATTAGAACAAAGTTCCTCAAAAAATGGGATATTAGAACAAAGTCCACACCGGCTATATCAACCTGTTTCAGCGGAGAGTGGAGTCCCCTGTGCCGTCTTGGCTTGCCGTGTCTTTGTCCCCCCGATCCGCTGACGGCGGCTTCTGGGCTGCCTGCTAGAGAGATGTCTTCCCGATCCTCCTTCTCCGGCCCGCTAGAGATGTCCTCCCGATCCTCCTCCTCCGGTCCGCTGATGGCAGCTTCCAAGTCGTCTGCTGCATGGATGTCCTCGAGGTCCTTCTCCTCCAGTCCGCTGATGACAGCTTCCGAGTCGACCTCCTTGACGAGAGACCTGATGTCGTCCCCTGGTCCTAGCAGGTGGTTTCCCCGCCGCACACTGGCTCCAGCTGTCCCCCTTTCCTCCTAGACGGACGGCATGAGAGATCCGCTGGGTCACTCGGTCGGGCCGGAGAGCCTGGGGTTGAGCCACTTTGTCCTGATGACCTTCAGCCAGACGAACTCCGCTATGTCGGCGTTCTGCTCCTCAGGTCCCCCTTTTGGCATCACCAACCTGTGTGGAGAAATCTGATACAAATCCCTCAAGCCTAAGCTCAGGGCTCCGGGGCCCTCAGCTGTTTGACCCCCCACTGCGTATGAATACAGAATTCCAACAAACTGTCATCAAATGTCTTTCTATTATGAATTTAGATGAAATGTATATCCCCATAATGACCTAAACAATAAAGTCTATGGCTTTTACTTCTTTACCAGGCTAGTTACATGATGTTGTCTAAATTAAATTCTGTCTCATTACATTACTATGTTTTAGCTTTAACTGTAATATGTTCTTTCTACATTTCAAACCTCAGTTACTTTAATACCTGTTGAAATATTACAACATTGTTTCATTATCACAGGTCAACTTCTTCAGTATTCCATTCTGGAATTACATCTCTCACAGTAGCCCCTTGGCCACTGATTCTGCATCTGTGTTACCTGCTATAACTCAATCAATATTAGAAACATGTCAACATCCATCAAACAGTATCTTATCCCCAGATATGGAGCAGGTCAATTCTAAAACTGTCAATCAATGGTCAGATTGAAAAATGTAGATTGTGAAGTTTACACTCCTCCTTTTTTACACATGAAATCATGTGTAACAAAATCCTGTATGGGAAGAAAACCTTCAGGTAATAATTGATTATAAGAAAATACCAAACATCATTCCCAAATGTACATCCATCATTTTCCACAGTAAACACTTCAGTGAAATGAAGTGTTTCTCTCCATCCCCCAGTCCTAAAAGAAACAGAATCTTCATGTTTTAGTTTGAGCTTCACATTCTGCAAACAGCCACTGCCTGTGGGAGTGAAATATCATCAAGTAGATTAGAAACGGGTCACACATTGTAGGAAACCTCTCATTTCCCACAGAGCCCCAGAATAATGTGTTAGTCCAAAAGCATGCTTGATTAGTCATTGTTTTAAATCATGCAGTTGCACTGATCACATGCAGACATACACTCACATTCACACTCACACTGTCAGGTTGTAAAGTCAAGTTTGGTCAGGTTCACCCCAGAGTCAGTCATTGACAGTGCCTTCTCAATTACACTGTCAGTCAGGGTCAAAGGTAATTTGGTCTCAGTCTTTTTGGCCATGTGTCGTGCACTGCAGAGACTTTGATATTTCAGCATAGGCCAGTATCCTTTGTCTACAAAAATCAGTCATATATGGAGCGCCATCATTTATTAATTCACGATTACAACTATAATTTTCCAGAGATCTCTAACTTTTCATTGGGACAGCTGTTTCCCACACTTCCTGCAACTTGGTACAAAACTCACTTCCTTATAGTACTACTACTGCAGTTCATTAACACCTAATCTATATTAAAATGTCTAATAGATCAGAAACTTGTGCATATAATTATTTTCTTGAGTCAAAACATTATTAGGATCTGTAAAGCTCTGCTATGCATTTCATAACTCATATTAATTTATCTTCAATTCTGGTGCACTTAAAGAACAATGTTACCCTCTTTAACAGTGCGTGGAACCTTGGGTGTCCGAACATGCAACAATTACTCCTTCCTTTATTAAGGATTTAAAAACAGAAGTCATTTCGTATGTCCATCCGAAAGCCCTCCTATGGTAATAACTATGCCACAATGGTGAAATCAGTACCTCAAATTGAAATACTATATTTTGTTTAGAACTAGCTTTCCCTTCAACATGACCTATATAAATAAATATGTGTATGATCTTATAGAGATGTTACTAAAACTCTCCCTTTGAACTGATCAATACTGTAATAAATTAAAACACTACCAAATTCACACATGAATAAAAACTCTAAAAGAATAATTTGTAAATATGATGAAAATATTGAAGAATATGGTTCTATCTACACTGTACTCCTAACTCCCAAACACCCACTACTTAAAGTCTAGTGCATACTTCCATCACGCCTCCTCCCTTTTCCATCAGTGTGTTTTAGGATGATTTTTCACTTCACTTTAATAGTTTTCCTCTTTACCGCTATTTTTAATTTACCAATTGATTAATTCATGGTTAATACATCTTCTTATCTTCACTTATTTATCAAGTCAATTCAAGTTCTTTAAATTTGGTTCTTTAAAATACATTAGTAGATACCTTGTGGAGTATTCACAATAACTAATCCTCTCTATGAAATCCGTTCATCTTTAAGCAGATACTATTTCCTTATTTATCTTTTGTTCATGATAACAATGGTATAACAACCACACGTTTTACACATAGCTAGTTTCTATGTCAAGATTATTATGTGTGACATAATAATCAGATGTCTTGTTTGCTAACCAATAATATTAAACTTTAATCTTTTCAGTATTCCAGACTGTAAGAGAATATTTTCATCTGATCTGTTTATAGAGTTTCTTATTGTTTTATAGAATCTGTGATACTGCAAACATCTGCTTGTAGTCAGTCAGAGACTCCTGTGTAGGTTGAGGCTTGTCTGGATCTCTTTGAGACAAGTAGACCATTGTCTCACATCTGCTACTAATTAGGTATACGCGGGCTTTCTGGGAGCCCGCCTCTCCTCGTGTTGGTTAGATGTGTTGTGTCTTTTGGTTCAGAGATTACCTTGGTGGAGCACAAGGACAGTGTGAAACTAGGATGATCTCCCGGCCGTGTGTAATTGTCTCTCTCTCAATAAATATCAGTGTATTGACAGGTGAATCCAGTTTCCCTCATTTCATGATGCGCTCAACATTGCTGCAAAGAAGTTTTTACTTCACAATTGGCGTCGCGAACGGTTACCAACAAATCGTCGAGCTGGTGAGTGTAATTTCAAATCTATATTTTGACATTGCCTCGCCAGACTCTGTGATTGACGGTATAAAATTACCTGTGGAACAGATAGATGCAATATTTTTGGTTTCCTCTGTGTGTGTGCACGGCAAATATTCGGAGAGACCTTAAAGAGGGCATCAGTAATGTGGAACTTCGGTTTAAAAGCAATGTAAAGATTTGTACTGAAACGAATCGCCGAATTCTGGAGATTTCAACGGTTTAACTAGTTAAATCAACTCGCCTCGAAATGTTCCTGTTGCTGCTGTGGGGTGCAGGGTGTGGGTAATTCCCCCCCCCCCCCCCTCCCCCCCTGTGGGGAGCAGCACACACGGGGATAAACAAAGCACAGTGTCGTATCTTCTTAAATCGCACCATTATGAGTTTTGGAACTAAACATTACTCTTATTAACGGGAAACGTGATACGAAATATTACGTCACGCTGTGTTTCATAAACTGAGGGGTTGTTGAATTTGGCTGTTTTTAAAATAAAGGGTACTGAATTCATTAAAAGTCTCTGCTCTCCGGATCGGGGAGGGCAGAGCACCACTAAATTAGCATAGTGGTTGTTGATTGAGAATAATGTGGTTATTACTCTTCAGCAGATTCCGTTCTTAGAATTA